TCAGGCTGGCTACCAGATTGCTGAGCTTGGAAAGTGAGTAGCAAACCCTCGGATATCGGTCCCGTGGCCTTCCTTCAAGCCATTAAGGGAAACTCTGCCTTTATCGGGCAGAAACCAACCACATTGCATGTGGGGTCCCTACTCTTTTGCATAAGGCAAGAACTCTGTGAGACTGGTGCTTGTTTGGTGGGGAAGGGGACATCTCAGAAAGCAAAGTCTAACAACAGGCTGCTCAGAGGCATCAGGGAACATCTCGGTTCCCAGCATAGCAGTGCAGTTCCCACTCTGCCTTGACCTCTGCCTCCCTCCTCTGGAGGACAGAATTGGCTCCAGCACTTACAAGGCCAGCTCAAAACGAGGCTTGAGGGACCCAGAGTTGCAGAAAGTGGGGACATGGCCAGGGATGTGGTGGGGTAAACGGCCAGCACTACAGGGACAATCAGGTCTGGGTGACTGAGCAGGCCAGGAGACAGATGCACGCAATGTTCTCCACAGGTACCTGGACTACATTCATGTGATTACGACTTCTACGGCTCCTGGGATACAAGCACTGGGGAGAACAGCCCTCTGTACAAAGGCCCAGCTGACACCGGTGATTCCATCTACTTTAATGTCGTAAGTGTATTTTCTGAGACTGTGTCACAAATCTCAGGTCTGTGAGCACACCAGTGACCAGAAGTTTAGAATTTCAACCTCCTGCCTACAAATCCGAGCAAAGACTTGAACAGTAATGTTTTTAATAGGATTATGCTATGAACTATTGGAAGAGCAATGGTGCCCCAGCTGAGAAGCTCCTTGTTGGATTCCCAGCGTACGGAAATACCTTCAGACTGCAAGACCCATCTGACCATGGTCTCGGTGCACCAGCATCAGGACCTGGTCCTGCTGGACCTTACACACAGGAGGCCGGGACACTGGCTTACTTTGAGGTATGTGTATTCAGTCACACTAACTTTTCAAATCATTTTAAAGAAGGCAGCCATGAAGCTTTCTGAATGGCTTCCTCAGACACAAAACTGTCCACAGAATTGCAGAAGAAACACGAATTAAAATAGTAGAGAAAATTTGCGCCTGAAAACAAGAGTCTTATTCATAAACTGAATAATGCTATGCAGTTTAGCAACAGGGGTTTGAATCGGCCCTTCTGAAACCTAAAGCTGATTTCTCCAGTGCAACAGAGAAATTACTAATATCATTTCTAGTGTCCATAAGGCAAGGAGTAGGAAGGGGATGTTGTACTTGAACTTGTCCCAGTAGTATCTATTGTATCCGAGTAAGCCATAGAAATTAAACTCATTTAAGCTTATTTCACAAAAGGAAACATTACACATTCTCAGTGACCAGATAAATGACACAAAACTGGAGAATAAAGTCAAGGTAATGGCAGAGCTTAGATTTTTGCATTTCTGTATGATATTCAATAGAATTCCACCTCTTGGTTCTTCTCCCTAGATTTGCACTCTCTTGAATTCTGGAGGCACCCAGGTTTGGGATACTCCCCAGGATGTGCCCTACGCTTACAAAGGCAGTGAATGGGTTGGCTATGACAACATCAAGAGCTTCAACATCAAGGTATGGTGCCATGGGTGGCTGTGCTAATAAGAAGGCAGGAGGCCTTCTGCACTAGCAGGTCCTGGGACTAAATGGGATTTCTCCCCTGCCACTGAACAGGTTGACTGGCTGAAGAAGAACAATTTTGGAGGTGCTATGGTTTGGGCCATTGATCTGGATGATTACACTGGCACTTTCTGCAAGCAGGGCAAATATCCCCTCATCACCACCCTGAAGAATGGGCTCGGTCTGCAAAGCAGCGGTGAGTAGCTTGAGTAGCGTGTGCTTCTTGGCTTCTTTATCTCTGGAGCCTTGGTGAATAAAGCCTTTCTGTGGAAGCCACAACTAGCGATCGTCCTGGAAAGATCCCTTCCCTCTATATCCCCTGGGATAAAAGAGGGAGATTGTAACTTTGACCTGGGTCCAGATGTTTCAAAGGCCTGGTGTGAGCCAGGCCAGACTTTGGGGGGCCACACTTAGGATCCCACCACTACAGGGCCTAGGGAGGGAGGGCTGACAGACTGTCAACACACAATAAGGTCTTTCCTGCTTTTGTTTCAGACTGTGTGCCTCCAGCTCACCCCAATCCTCCGATCACTGAAGCTCCATCTACTACAGGTAGTAGTGGAAGTGGGAGTGGGGGCTCAGGCAGCAGCACTGGTGGTTCTGGTGGGAGCGGTTTCTGTGCTGGCAAGTCCAATGGCATCTATGCTGATCCAACCAGCAAGAGGAGCTTCTACAACTGTGTTAATGGTGAAACCTTCTTGGAGAGCTGCCAATCCGGTCTCGTCTTCGACACCAGCTGCTCCTGCTGCAACTGGCCATGAAGATACCAATGCTATTACAGCAACTGGACCCCCTGATCTAATCACATGGAATAAGAATGATTAAATAAAGGGTCCCACAAAAGCAACAGTCGTTTCTGTTTCAACTCATTTCTCTCAATATTTTGATGCTTCCTGATTCTCTCATGATACTCACACTTGTGCTTGAGGAAGGGCCTGAATGCACAAGCTGGAATTAATTACAGGCATTTTCCAGGAGTTTCTCACCTCCACAGACAGGCACAGGGAAAAAAACAGGTCAGGCTCTGCCACAAGAGAGGTGACAGAGAAGGGTCCTGACAGTGCAACCTACAGGCTGCTTCCTGAGACCTCTCCCCTGCAGACTTACAGCGTGAAAACAGCAGCTCCTCAGAGTGGGAGCCAGCACAGCACAATCCACAGGGATGTTATTAATCCTCCGCTTTTCCCTGCTCCCTTCAGGCGCTGCCATGGCCAGCATTCCCTCCAGCACCCCCGCTCGGTGTCTATAGCAACTGGAGTACACACACGTCCTGGGTGCCCGGCAGGGCAGCATGGCAGCGGAGTGGGAGCCCAGAGGTGAGCCGTGGGAGGTGTGTGCACCCAGGGGTCGTGGGCATCAAGGCTTTCCTTCTCATGCAGCTCCCCATGGGCATCTGGCTTCCCCAGCAACCTTCCCAGCAACCAGGCTACTAGGCTACTGTTTGCTCAGGCTGGGGGAAAAGAAGGGTTTGTGACAGGAGGGAACAGGCATCCAAAGGGATGACCTGTCAGAAATATCCAGGGTCAGGGGAAATTCCCATCTGGGAGATAAGGGGATAGTTGGCCTCAGGCAGAGAGCAGCAGGCATTTAAGAAGGAAGAAAAGCAGCAAGTGGTCGTCTCCACTGGTGACATTTCCCTCTCCTGGTCTCACAGATGTGCAGAAGCGGATCTCATTTGGGTCATGTCAAGAGCGGAAAATGTTCCCTCTCCACCACGGCCCAGACAGGCTGGGAATCCAGCTGATGGCCATCAGGGGAAACCCTTCACTTGGACCAGGCTGCTACCTAAGTCAAGAGGTAAGTTGTTCAGTTTTCATGCTCTGAGCTTTTCCTTCACAGAAGACACATGGTACAGCAGCAACATGACCATGGCCAGCCAGACACGGAATCTCCCACACCTGCCCTACAAACCCACTGTACAAGGTCTCCACATACACCTAGAAAAAGATATTCCCTGTGCTTCCAAGCATACCACTTCCTCAAAGCTCCAGCTGCTCTAGCGCTCTACATCAGTGAGACATTCGAGGAATTAACAGGAATAGCGTCTGCTGCTCATGTACTTCTACCCTTCCCCTGATGTAAACGGTGTCTTAAAAATGTCAGTAAAACACTTGTGCTTTTGAATCACAGAAAAGCAGCCTCAGATACTCTTTGGAAAACAAACCACTGAGCAAGAAAGGTTATGTGATAGGAGCAAGAACAGCCCAGCGTTTCATACCAGAGCCACAGGTAAGAGAAGCACACTCCAAGGTGACAGAGCTGTAGCTTTGCAAGAACTTTAGTCTGTTCCCAACATAGACCAGCAGTTTCAATCACGTTTGCTGGGGCTGCCTCCAACATAATATATACAGTAGCTACAAATCTCCTTACACATAGTCTAGAGGGAGGTGTTGAGCCCAGAGACCGATGAGTGATCATATGAGCTCTGGCGACATCGACACATGCATTTGTACATACACATTCCTCTGTACCACATACACACACGTAAATGTACGTATTGAGGCAAAATCAGGGAGGGAGCTCAGCTACACTGCCTGAACAAACACAGTATGTCTTCCAGCCCAGCTTCCCTAGAATAGCAATATATTAGGAGACACATCACAGGACACACTGGGTAAGGGGTAGGGAGCGCATAATTGACTTGTTCTGATCATTTTACACTATCAGGGTAGCCAAAGCATACATTGAACAGCAGGTCTGTAATGCCCAGCTGGCTGCTGATCAGAACATGTACGAATCGTTTGCAGAACAAAATCTTCCATATAGAAATTTTATCTCTTGCAGACTGTGACTCCCAGCCCAGCAGCGTACCAGTCATTCTGGAGTAAAGAAAGAAAATCCCAGCCTGCCTATGCTCCATTTTCCATTAAGACACCACGATTTCCAGATAAACCTTCAGATAAAGAATTTTTCCCTGGGTAATGTAACTCATTTTCTTACACTTTTAATAATAAGCAGGCTTACTAGCAGAGAGAAATACTAAGACACAAATGGGAGATAAGTAACTGAGTTCCCAGTAATGCTTTTTTATCTTTAAAAAGCTCCTCTGCTTTAGTCTTGAACTTAGCATGATGACTAGAACACCACAAAATGCATTTCTCCCATGGATCAAGGTAGGGCTGGTAAATTCCAGTATTACAAACATCATACACCAGCTCCAGAAATGATATGTTATGTGTCTGTCTTCTTTAGACCTGGAACTTACAAAGTAGACAAGCAATTACACAAAAAAATCACTTGGCCGATGAAGTTTGGGTCTCCAGACTGGTCTTTAATGCCGATGCCAGTAAAGAGGATGGTAAAAATGGAGGTACAGAAGGTAAGGTCAGGGATAAGGGGATGTCATTCCTGGCTCAATGCTTCTGACAAAGGAAATCATATGATTACTTCAACGCATTTGCACTATGTTCTGTCATGCTTTCCTCACTGGCCTGCTGGGTACGTGGCTCCACTAGCCTGGGGCACAAGATGCAGACTGATTTTCTATCAGAAAACGCTGGTTTGCAAAAGGAGTTACAGTCCTTCACAGAAAGGTTCTATTAAGAAATTTGCTCTGGAATTTTCCATCCACAAAGTGACAGAACCAGAGCACAGAATTCCCCGCATAGCTCTGCTGAGAAGAAGACCTTTCTGATTGAAAACACAGGTTAAGTCCTCTACACCTGCTCACGCCTTCCTGTGCTTTTCTGAAGCAATTGTCACTGCCGATATCTAATGGACATCTAATTGTCTTTTAGATGACCATAGACAAAGAATTCAGGAAACATCAGGACCGACTGGCCTACCTGCGTCTCTACTACAGCTGAGGAGCCAGGGCTGCTGCCACACCGCCCCCCCTTCCAGTGGCGCTGCTCGGGCCTGGCTTCGGCTAAGGAGACATTCACCTGCCCTACCCAGCCTCTCCAAATAAAACCATTGCAAAAAGAGGGATTTCTTGCTGCCAGCCGTGCTTACCTGGTGTTTGGGTGCCGCTGGGTCCCGCACACAGCACCCCTCGGCCCCACTTCCCTCAGCCCCTTGGCTCAGGCAGGGCTGGCGGCCATCTTCTGTGAAACACCTCAGCTCGCCGCCCTCCCTCACATGGCTTCCCTTGCCGCAGGGGGCTTTTCCCCCCAAAATCCAGCCCTCCCTGGCAGCAGAGAGATGCCAAATTAACACGGCTAGAGGGCAGCCCAGCAGCTGCCCCGCCTCCTCAGCACTGGGAGCGAACAAACGCCACCATCTTCCCCTCAACCCCCCCGCCTTCTCTGCCTCCTCACCACCATCTCCTCACCTCCAAGACGCTCCAGGCCAAGCCCAGGGGTTCACCCACAGCCTGAGGAGAGCTGAGAAACGTGGGGGTGTACGTGGCAGAGCCACCGGTACTGTGCTGCCCTCAGGTATGTTCAGGGAGAGTAAAAAATGGCTGTATTAAAGCAGATATCTGAGGGAGAGGGTGTGCTGGGATGGGTTAGAGCAGGCGGCCTACAAGACGTACGTTTGCATTACTAGCTTCTTCACTGCTGACACGAGGAAGATATTCTCAAGGAGTAAGCAGCACACTGCTAATTAAGAATCTGCCCACAAAAATAAATTTAGTCTGAAAGAGGAAGGTGCCGGTATTTATCCTCAGTTGTTTCTGTAATGTACAACTCAGACCCGAGGGATTTCTATAAATGTTTACAAACCTTCGCGCACAGGCTTAATCTCTCTGATCACAAGCTTGATTCAATCTCAGGGGAAAACTAAGAGCAGGCAACATTCATTCTCGGTATAACTACCAGTCACAACGCAGGCTTTCAAATTTTCTGGGTCTGTTTAGCTGTTTCTGTAGCAAATTTCACCTGTAGCCCAATTTCAGCTATAAAACCAAAATGCGTTCTTCCAATTTCCCACTTTTGGTCTTCGAGTGCTCTCACATAACGCACGACAACAGCTGCTCACAACCTGTCTTTTCTAGGCATGTTGGCCCCTTCCCTCCCAACCACAAGAGACTGCTTTGTAGCTGCAGCTGCCAAAAAGGGATGTACTCGCTGATTTGCTGTTGCCCCTTTCGGGGCAATTTTTTGAAGGAGGCTGTATGACTCACTGCCCTCAGACCTGGGGTTTATGGCTTCACCTTTGTACTCATGGCTGATGCTGCATACTTCACCTCCACTTGTCTTGGTTTTTTAATCAGGAGAAAAAATAGAATCACAGAATGGTTTGGGTTGGAAGGGACCTTTAAAGGTCACCTAGTCCAACCCCCCCTGCAGTGAGCAGGGACACCTCCCACTAGATCGGGTTGCTCAATGCATCTGTAAGAGAAGATGTAAAAGCAAGAAAGCACAACCTACAATTCTCCACTCCTTCTCAACCACACGTTCCACCTGTGATTGGAGAAACCTTCTACTAAAGCTTTTGCAAAACTGATGGTATTTCAAAAAGCACTTTGTCCTCGCTGAACATACTTCCAATGAACCAAAGTTTTTGTCGGAAAATTCCCAACCTTCTCAGCCATCACGTGTTGCTGTGGAGAAAGGAAGAAATGCAGAGGGAAGGACAAGACTTCCTATCGCTTGTATACCCCACTGAAAACGCACTCAGGCTCCATTCAGGTGCTTTTCCACTCCTGAAACTTTAAGGACTCAGGCGGTTTGCTTGTAGGAGATAAAATTTCTTTTATTATGAACATAAAAATTACTATTTTCATTCTACATTTCTCCCCTACCCAGCGAGGGATTTTCTCATTATGAAAAATGCTTCATCCAAGTAAAAAAAAGATATAAATTTTTATATATACATACATACACAATGTCTCTGTACATTTGTTACTCTGTACAACCAAGGCACCAGCAGAAGTGACAATGGCACACACAGGACTTTTTGCTAGAGATGTCATTTCAAATTGTTTGGCAGGAACACCTCCGTTCTCGCTGAACAATTACTCCTTTTTATCTCCTGCCTGGGTGACAGGGGGAGAGGGAGGCCTGGGAGGATGCCTTAACAGAGGTGAACACGTACACACATAACTGATTTCCCCGTGGACTGCCACAGACTTCTTGCATTCAGCTACTACTCTAAGAAACCACGAGCTGCCTGGCGGTCTGCAGCAACCCAGCACATTTTCACCCAGAAGAGATGCTTGGGAGACTGAACCAAACTACAGGAGTCTTTTGTCAAAGAAATTTAACCCATATTTTGCCTAAGTAAAGGTTGAATGAAAACTAAAGCAAAGCGCTCCAGAACCAGCTAACAATTACAATACACGAATCACCAGTCATTTTCACTGCTGAAATGAAGCTGGTCTGGGGAAATAAAGGGGGAAAAAAAGAGCAACTTCTGTTGATAAAAGCCCACATTTGAGAATGGACAAAATAAAAAAGTGCAATCAATAGCATGACCTCGGGGACTGCAACCAATACAGCTTTATTCCACATTCCAAGTTCTGCAGCACAGCATCTTTCAAAACAGCTGGTGAAGGCATGAACTCTCAAAGGAGTTGTGCTGTGTTGAAACTAACAATAGAACTGAAAAATAGCCTGAAGCAGCTGTTAAATCGTGCCATTCATACTGCTAAAAAATAATCTCAAAGCAGAACAGGGTAAACACCACACTTAGCGCTTTTAAGTTAGAAGTGCAGCTGCATTCAGAAAACTGAGAATAAAATGCCATCTTAGCTCTGTATTTACACTTCACTCTCTTACCAACACATCAGACGCCTTCAGTTTATAAAAGAAAAGTCTGTTTGCTTTTACCTGCCAAGAATCCAAAGAAAGAAAACCTCTCTGGGATTTTTCTGTCCCTGTTCATACATGCTCCTTAGATTATAAGGCCAGGCAGGGCTGCTTGCAGAAGTTTCTTTTCCAGCCTGCCAGCCAGCCACAAGCGAATTATGCCTTTGTATTCTGCAGAGCCTGCTGGGAAACACTGACCAGCAAGAACCTTCGTGTCCCCCATCTCTTCAGAGAGTAAATCCTGCCGACAGCGAGAACAAACCAAAGCAAACGAGACAATTCCCATCTGCAACCCAGCGGCCTTCAGTGCTTTTAAGGCAATTGACCATCGACTGTTCCAAGCCAGCAGGAGAGCAGAGGGGCAAGCGGGAGCGTTGCAAACCAGGATGTCGACGTGCTTCACTAGGCAGAGAGAGATCATTCTTCTGCTCCGGATTGCCTCTCCTGTCTTGCTCCATACCCCACCCACAGCAGCGGAGGTGAACCCCCCTGGTTTCTCTTCCTCTGAGCAGCCAGCTGGCTGCACCTCACTTCTTTCTGCGGATCTTGGGCTTTTTCACTGGACGGAGGTAGGGATTGTCTATCACATTTTCCTCCCCGTTGCGACTGCCTGACAGGGAGGTGTTCTGCTGTAACACCGAAGCGTTCTCCTTTTCAGGTCCTGAATCATCCTGCCACATTAAAGAAAAAAAAAACGTAAGCATAAACAACCAAAATTAGGCTAAACGAGGCTTAGAAGTTCAACCCACACACCCCATGGGCAAAACAGATAACAGCCAAGACAAACAGCAGCACATAAGGAGCTGCAACTCCTGATTTCTAATCCAAGAAGATCCCCTTTGGGAACAGCGTGGGATCCTAGGAGAACCCTCTCTCCTCTAACACTGAAATGAAGGTTGTACTGAAAGCTCATGATCCAACCTCATTTTGCATTGCACCCTGCAGAAAGTTAAAGAACCAGGACAATGTTTAGTCGTTTTACACCTGGTAAGAAGCAACCCCCTCTGCCATTGTCCACCCACTCTGCCCAGCTGCAAGGAAGACAGGCAAAGAACCGGGTTTCACAAGTTTAAGAAAGTCAAGCCCAAGAGACCGTAAACCTCTCAGGCTGGGCGTACCGTGCTCATGTGCAGGGGGAGGTTCTCCGTGTCTGTCTGGTCGTCTTGCTCAGATGAATCCGTTTCTTCCATTTGCTGCATCTCCAGCTCAGAGGGGAGAAGAGCTGTCAGGTAGGGCACAGTGAAAGGCCTGGCAGCAATCACTAGGGTCAGGGAAAAGGATGCAGTCAGCAAGCTGGGAGAAGACTCCTCAACTCAGAGATTACGAAGCACAAAGCCAGCCAGTTACTTAAGAGACCAAACACTTTCACTGGTTCTGAAAGGTTCACGCGCTCTTTTCCTGCTTTTCCCATGGATCAGGAATGAAATACGCTGTCCCTAAAAGACGGCAGTCTCCAATTTCCTGCTTTCTGAGGCCCCTTTATGTTTCCAGCCAAGGATCCAGCATTATCCTAACGCAAAAAAATCCTTCCTGGCCTCCATAAAAGTTCCATTATGTCACAGGCTGAAGAATCACTTAGTCCCCCTTAGGATAACGCTGGAACCTGTGCTGCCAGTGAGCCTTGGGAAGGTGGGAATTCTCATCACTGCTTTGTAGACAGAGAAACAGGAAAACCTCCACTGCCTACCACAACAATGTGAGGCAGGAGAAATTACTTGTTCAAAAGTTACAGAGTGGTGGCGACAGGATTGGGATGAGCTTTGAATTTAGCACTTATCAGCCAAGGCCTTCTCCACCAGCAGAAGAAAGTGAGCCTTTGGTGACTTTGATTCTGTTTTTCATCCCTGTTTTAAATAGAAAATTCCACCTTTCCCAGACTTCCAGTGCCTGAGGAGGGCAAACACAACGTGATCGCTCAGTGCTCACCTCCCGCAGGAGCAAGAACTCTAACGGAGCGTATGCTCAGTCAGACAACTGTCATTTACAGCACAAAGTGTCCTAGATAACTCACGTGGGAAGGTGCTAACATCATCTTTGAAGAGGCTCTGCGTTTCTCCCGTCTTAGCCATGAAACGTGTGAGAGCTCTTTCTACATCGCGCCGCTGAGAGGC